AACCTGTGCAGTGTAAATCTAAAAGGCTTGAGGGTCCGATATTTGGCGATTTTTCCAAGAGATGTTCTTTATGCTAAAAATACTGTCCTTCCAGGTTAGAACTCCCAGCTGTACAGTAAGCAAACTATTGAAAGAAGAAAAAAAAATTGTTTTAGTTTAATTAAACAATTGATTGCTGTAATTGCAAACCACAGTATTTTATTTTCATGGGGTAGTAGACAAGAGCTTTGCAGGGTAATTTTGAATTTAATTCAGTCAATTCATGCTACAGGAAAATATCTAAGTCCAGATTCTATTGAACCTGACAATAATTCCCTGCTAAATTCTTCAGTAGAGTGAACAAAATACAATAGATCTAAAGGACCTCTGAGTATTCTATAAATTTTCGTATAAGTAATTACATTTTCTAGTTGAGTGAGAAAATAATTTTTAAATTATTTAAAATGAAAATGAGAAATCATTTTAAAGCTAAAAATTACAGGTTTTAATTAGTTGTAATTATGCTTAAAAACACTTTTATATTTCTAAATAAATTGTTCATTTTTTAATAGTGGATTTGAAGTTATTAGACTCTCTAGTTGAAACATGGTTAATTAAAATAGCATGTTCATTTTGCAGGGAAGATAAAAAGCTCTATGGTCAGTCTATACTATTGTCTTGACTTAATTAATCTTTTGTATCCAACAGATTACTTACGTTATTTTTTTTTTGTTATATCAAAACTATACCATCCGTCTTCCTCTCTGTTGCAGGCTTAATGAAGCCTTGAGTATTTTTTTATCTGTTCTGATATCTTTTCAAATGCCTTTCCTGACCCCTTAATCGTATCCTCTCATAGAGCTTCACTGTCTTCAAGGTCTGCAGCAAACATCTTTAGAGCTCCTAAGACACACGCAAATAAAATCTCTATGGGACAGCATTGCTGAAATCCTCCTCTGTTTTGCTGTTTGTCATCCTCCCTTACAGGTGCTGCATTTTAGTTTTATGTCTGACACCTTACCTGCCCTATTGCATTGCTTGCTTGTTTTAAACAATATCAAATAGTCAATAATGTGATTAGTTATGATTTTTATAATTGTAACTTAGAATCTGCCTTTTTAATTTAAATATTTACATCTTTTAACAGTTTAATCACATTTTAATTATGGTTTGATGATTCACAGGAAAACTCGGAATGGAAGAATATGCTGTTTTCTATCCTCCAAATGGTAAGAATTATACTATTGCTTCCTCTAGTGGTAGATGGGAAAGATACAGGATTTTTTTTCTCAAATACAGGATAACTTCTTTTTCTATTACAATTTAGGTTTTGCTGTCACTCTGCGAAATTCATTAATTTAAAGGAGTAAGCTGGACTGAAGCTACTCCAAAACCACATTCAGCCTGGTGTTAGTAGTCACATATGGAGTTTGTCTATGTGTGTGGGAAGGAGAAGAAAAAACAACTTCTGGTGCAGCAGCTTGTATTCCAGTCTTGCATCGCCACTTAGAGGATCTGAATGATATGTGCTGAAACTGTCTGACCCCCCAGATTTTTCAGTACTCAACAAACCACACCTTAATGTCTTTTCCATTCGAAATTTGTGTTAATTTTAAAAATTCAGGCATAACGAATCCATATAATTTTAAGCTAATATCGTTGTTGTTGTTGTTACTTCAGTTATTGAAATTCTGGGGTTTAGCTCTTGTTTTGACCATTTCAATCCCTGTCTATTGAATCCTTTCCCTGTTTTTGCGCTGCATTAGTATTTTAAGTTCAAGCTCTTTGCTCTTGCTTTCAAGGCCTTACATCACCAATCTTAAATCTGTGTCTTTGGCCTTGTCTTCTTTGTGTTCTGTCTTCCAGTGGTGTCAGTTGTAGCACATACCTTTATTCCCCCTTCTTCCATTTTTGCCTCCGCAATTCTTTGTAGCTTTGTAACCGTGACGTGGTGTCCTTAGGACGTTTTGTGAAAGCAGCTCTTTCTTACTGGTCCTATATGAAAATTAATGAATGGGAGCTAAGGTCAGCTGGAAAGGAGGAGAGAACTGTTATGATACAACTGCCAAGTCCTCTAAATGTTTTATCTGAGTGCTACATGAATTACTAGAGGTCTTGGCCTCCTTTTTTCCTGCTCCCTCCTTGTCAGTGCATGACATTTATGGGGTGTCATTTATCTGAAATTAGTTTCTGATTTCAGCAAAGCTTATACGTAGTAACTTCATGGAAACAGAGCTTTCCTTGGCTTTCTAGGAACTGTAGCACGTGTTTAAGCATGTAGTTGGTTGTGCTGAAGTAAGTGATACAATTCCTGTACTGAAATATTTACAAGATTGAGGTCTAAGACCACAGGTGCCATAGCAAGAAAATATTTTATTCCTATGGTAGGCAAAATACAATTTAGAAACTTGGGGGGAAAAATACTTTTTTTTTTTTACATGGATAAAAAGAAATATAAAAGAACAAAAAAAGAAATATTTTTGTTTTGTAGGTGTAATTCCTTTTCATGGCTTTTCTATGTATGGTAAGTGTGACTCTCATAAACTCAAAACCTCGGGATTGCTTTTTATCCTATTGCAGTTTAAAGCTGTACGTACTTTTCTGCAACTTTTAAACTTGTATTCTGTTCTTTGTGTATGAAGACTGTTGTACATAATTTTAAAAATTCCAGGCTGTTTCTATTTACTTACATTACAGGTCACTGCCGTGTGGGAGTTCCTTCTTTGAGAGCTAATAGCTGAGCTATACATCCTAATGTATATGAATAGAGGGGATGAAGTTTGTTGACAGAGTGCTCTTTTGTTGTGTTTCACTACTGGGTAGACCAAGTTACCTGTGAAGAGTTCTTAAAAACATGAATTATGTGAATGGCCTGTTGCTGTATCCATTTGCCTAGAACAGGCATTAAAGGAGCATTAAATGATAGAATGGTTGCTACTTTACTGCGTAGAGGA